CGTTCACAGAATGTGATCGCCACTTCCCTTTGATGGGCAGTGTGACCACATTCCGAACAATCACTACTTTATATGCAGTCATCGGTATCGCCACACACTTCAATATAAACGCATTTTTGCAAATTAACAATTTTTCAACAGATCATCACACAATCCCTCCAGTGGCACTTTTTTTTTGTTGCAAATTTTTGATGTTTTAATCTGTAAGAGAAGATCAAAACAGTTTTTTTTTGTGCTCATTTCCACACTTCCAATGGCCAAGAGCGGTTGGTTCGTGCTTTGAAACATCGCTTCAGTACATTTTTTACATCGTTTAGGGAATATAAACGAGACTAATGCAATAATCAATGTTACCCACTCATCCACGCGAAAACATTCAATAAATGACAGCTGATAATGACAAATAACGATCAAAGCAGAAAGCCAGCAAAGCCGTATCTCAGAAAAGGTTCCGGTGCGACAGGTCGCCTAATGGTCTGTAAAACACAACTGCCTTAATTCGCCTTAATCATAACGTTCATTCACTTCAGTTACGTATGTGAATTTCAGAGCAAAATAAACTATCCAACGTTAACGAGGACTAGGTCACGACAGTCGCATAGCAGTGTGAACAACGCTCAGAGCTCAATGCAAGATGGCGCCGACAGCAATCTAAGGCTGCTAGCGGATCTCGACTGTGAATCGGCAAATACTATCAGTTCGTTTTTGAGGTGTTATTCCTTTTAAGAACAAATGTTTTTTCTTTGTCCTTAATTCATTTTCAGATCGCAATCAATGGCCGGAATTGAGCACTCGATCGAATAATAACATTAACAATTTTGCACGAAGCAGTTCAAGTTCACCCGCACAGGTTAAACCTATTTCGTTGTCTTCTCATTTATCAGTCACTAATTATTACGTTAGTTTGTGAACGAATGATCTTTCTGTTACAACTTAATATGTCGATTGCGTTGCACAGGATCAACAGCCCGGTTCAAGCCGTCCGTTAACAGGAACAACCGACAGCGGATGCCCCGAGGACCCGTTATATTTGCTCAGTCCTGCACTGACCGAGCATTTGGCTTCCGTAGTTCGAGACGTGACCACAGATGCGGATGTCGATAGTAGTAGTGACTCGAACTCACATGAACCAGGCAAATCATTCGTTCGTTCATGAGCAGTTTCTTACGAAAATCTCACTAATGGAATTAGTGTTGTTTCAGTGTGTTCACCGATAACATACAGTGATGAAGGAAGACTTGCTCGCGATCTGACGACACATTCAGTGATTTATGATGTGAGCGATTATTCTGCGTCTGCGATCTCGACTTCTGGTATCGGTCGGGTGACTCCGTCGAAAGGAGAGCTGTCCGATGGACGAGTCGTTGGTGATTCCTCAGAACAAGGTGGCAGCACGCCGTCAGTTGTAGCCGACGTGAGCACGATTCATGCGTCCAGTATAGGTCCCGTAACCACCACGACAACGGCTGCTCTTCCATCCAAAACGCGAAAGTTGGAAGCAGTCTCAGGAAAACAACGAACTGAAAGCTGTGCACTGAATCGTGAAATAGCCGTGATTCTGCCACCAGTTCAGAGCAGTAAGCAGTTAAAACAGTACTCAAAAGGAGGTGCGAAATTCGTCAGTATTTGGGTAGTACTTCAGAGAGAACACCGTTTATATTTGTATATCAATTAGTGCTGATCACTTTGCAGTGCGGATGCCGAAAGCGGTGAATTTATCGCTGGGTGAATCAACGGCTGAATTCGAGCATTTAGAAGCGAGAGTGCATGAGATGTTGGCCAGTGAAGGGGTTGATGGTGAGTGGCCTGCAAGCAGCGATACATCGCATAACACCGACGGAACTCGTTCGAAACATTGGAGATCTGTGATCGCTGATTTCAGACAGGAGGCACTCAAGAATAATGTTAGTGCGTT